AAATTTGAAATGTGATTTACTTGTTGATTGAGAAATTGTTTTTGTTACTGTTTTTCCCTGGTTAAGTATTCTATCCTGGAAAATTTTGGTTGAAAATCAGTATCAAACTTGCTGAAGAGAAATTTTTTGTGTATATATATATATATATATATATTTGGGTTAGTTTATTATTTGTGACCATAAAATGGAAGGCTGTGAAATTTGAAATGTGATTTACTTGTTGATTGAGAAATTGTTTTTGTTACTGTTTTTCCCTGGTTAAGTATTCTATCCTGGAAAATTTTGGTTGAAAGTAAATGTCGTCTTAATTTTAAGGTAGTTTAGGGAAGATAATTGGTTGCAATGGGGATATGTGGGGAATAAGGGAAAAAAGAACCAACTTTTTGAAGATGAAACCTTGATTCTGATTAATGGAAATTCTTGAACAATCTGGCAATTGCATTCCTTACAAGGTAACTCAGAAGCATGTCCAGGGTAAATGTCTTCTTGTTTTTGAGGTTGTTTAGGAAAGATAATTAGTTGCAATAGGAATATTTGGGAAATTAATGGACAAAAAGGGACTGTTTGTAGATGAAACATCCATGCCGATTAATTGGAATTATTGAACAATCTATCAACTCTGTGCCTTACCCTTACATGGTAACTCAGAAGTGTGTTGAGGTTGTTTTTACATGTGAATTTTTTAGGTAGCTTATTTGCAAAAAATGTGGATTTTTTGTGGCTGTTTTTAGATTTGGGATATCAGAAATTTGTTTTGTTGCTTTCAGTCCTTATTTTGTATTTTCTAATGTCTCCTCTGCTGTCTGACTATGATGCAATTTTCTGAGCTGATTAGTTTGTTTGGTTCTGTATAATTCCGACTGCACTAGAAAACGTCATTGGGTTTCTTAGATTTAGTTTACTGTCTGATTTAGTATTAGAGACCATATTTTGTCATGCCTATTAAATGTTATTACAATTTATTCCTATGGTTTTTTAAATCTGCTTGTAAACTTGGTTGTCAGGGCAAGTTTATGAATTTCTAATTTTGCAGTTAATACAAGGTGTTGCTTGGTAAAATCAGTCTTGCCTAAGGATGTTCACAGGCATAATGTGGTTACAGGTGTAGCTAGGTAGGCATAAAATGTTAGAAAGCAAAGTTCAGTTTAAGTTTGCTATTTAGAAGAGTGAAATAATAAGAGATTAATTATGGAAGAAAATATAAACCAGATTACAGATAGTCCTTTTCTGTAAAGGTAATATTATTATAATCATAGATGAGTAAAAGAAAAGTTGAAGTGTTTCTTCCCTTTGTTAAAATTTAGAGTATGGGAGTTTGTCTAATCTTTAAGTTAAAACAGTCTGGTGCACAATTTTTAAATTATTTTAGTTACCCTCCTTTCTTTTTATCGAACCACTTAGTTATTTTTCCCTTCAGAAGACTCACCATTTCAACTGCTTTTCTTAATTCTCTGCATAACTCAGTCCTCTATCATATTTCACCCTTTCTCTTGTTCCTTTTATCCTTTCATCAGTCACAATTGTATGTTGCTGAATCGATTGTTTTGCCCATACTTCAGTGTCCCATCTGAAATCTCTAGACTAAATGCAGTTTAACTGCTGCTTGCATTTCATTTATTCTGGCTTGGCATTCTGGGGTAATGGAGAGAGATCCCCTCAAAAAATCAGATCCAACTGCAATGGCTTATGGATCCACCACTGTTGGATGAAGGAAAATATATTAGTTATCCATATGCAAACCCCTTCTTTCTATCTTTCCCACAAATCCATTTGGTGGTTATGTTTATGCCCTGATCATCATGATCATTGTGAAAAATTTTAGTCATCTCTAGTCTGAGTGCAATTTCATCAAAGATAGGCATCCAACTAGTATGCTTGTATACCAATGATACAGTGATAACTGATGCTGGCTTGTTATCTTAATCATCAAACCAGTCTAAATCATCTGTTGATCTCTTGGTACTGTCATTGATATCTTCTTCATCATATAGAAGGGCAGCCAATCTAACAAACCTCATGCTTAAGCAATCTCTATACAAAATGTTTAAAAAATTAGAATCAACATCCTATTCAGATAAACTATCCAAAACATTAGATTTTCCAGGAGTGGCTAATAGCAGTTTAGCTTGGGAGAATCCTCCTTAGAACCTGTAGAGTTACAGCATGTCTACTAGAAACTGGAGTGGTGAATCAGGCAAGTGATTTGGTTTGGTGTCTTAATCTATGATAAAATGTTGCTTATGACTCTGACTCCACACTGATTGAGGGGATTGGGGTTTTAGATAGAAGATGGATTATAAGCTGTAGCTTGTGGGTAATGTAAGGGACGAGGGAATCTTCAAGGCTGGAAATGTTGGTCCAGATGATGGCAACCCAAGAGGGGGAAAGTATATTGAATATGTAATCACACAATTAATTTGGCTTTCAATATAAAAGGGAATATATTCAAATACAATATTTGGGAATTTATGGAAATCATATCAATACCACTAAAAATAAGTCAAGTATATATTTCGATTCACATTTGGTTTTAAATCCATCAGAATCAAGAATAACAGGAAAAACCTTTGTGATGTCTAAATAATGTATTGAATGTAGCCTTGCAACATGAAATTTCAAAGATAATCATGAGGAGTCTTCTAGTTGTTTTTGTCAAATGCTAATACCCAAGAGATGCAGGTGTAAGTGTTTGTTTTTGAGCTTTTGTTTTAACAGGTCACGTTGCAATTGATGAGTGAATTTATTGGTTTTGGTTGGACCATTTGAAGGATACAATAATGAAAAAGTCTGGTTTTGAAATTTCATGGTATCAGAGAACTTACAAATAATTTTGATGGACGACCTAAAAGTTCAAGTGCTGCCTTGTTTGATAACTGTTTGTTGAATGAAATTCATTTTTGTTTCTCATAAAAAACTTATACTTTTTTTTTAAAGGTAAAAACTTGAACTCAACTCAAAGGCAAAGAAAAATTTTACCTTAACAAAGTGACAAAAATCACTCAACCTAACAAGTTAGGTGCAAAAAAGTTATACCGTTTAAAAGTAAAACTACCTGTCCATTGCATCAACCATTTGGAATTTATTTCTGGGTCTGGTGATTAAGACAAGCTAGCCTTTTTAAAGGGTCAAATTAGCGCAAATTTTCTTACCAAGAAGTTAGCTAGCAACTTCATGGGTCGTTATCTAAATTGATTAGACGCCCTAGACTTCATCTTTCATATGTTCATATCATGTTCTCATAAATTTGACAATCCGGAGCTATGATTCGTGAAGAGATCTCGACGTGTGTGGTGTGGTTATGGCCACGTGTCATAATGTTAAGGTAACACAATTATATTTAATTTAATTGTTAAAAATAATTAAAAATTAATAAAATAATTAATATTTATTATTTAATTAATTAAAATTAATTTATAAATTAATATTTTTAAATATCATAATTAATTATTTAAAAATTATAAATTAATAAAATATTAGTCAAGTTAAATTTATATAACTTTAACAAAAGAGTAGGAGCTTGACCACTTCCCAGGAGGTCATATATAAAGTCAGTACGACTAATGCTGCATATTTGGGTTTAATTTAATTATTAATTTATTAACTATTAGTTTAATTTTATTTTAATTTAAAAAGTTTATTTTTTTAAATGATCTATAAACTTTGAAGAATATTTTAAAATAATCTACAGTACGAAATTTCCATTAGATTTAATGGAAGAGAGTAGTATTTAAGTTTTAAAAAAGTGATACTATAATTCTAATAAAATATGATGACTCAAGAAATATTTTATAAAGATAGATTAGTTAGAATTTGTAATAAACTTTAGCAGCTAGTTTAATTCAAATAGAAAAACTTAATAAGTTTAAAATGAGAAGTTTCAAAAGTAAGTCTATTTTATAGAGCAAACTGTATGCAGTCTATCTTATAAAATTATTTAAATGTCCTTTAAAAAATAAAATTAAGGGAATTTAAATAATTTTACAAAATGGATTATAGACAATTCACTTTGTAAAACAGTTTTCTAAAGAACACATTTAGCAAGATAAGAATAAAAATTATTTTAACGGTAAATATAAATTTAAAGACTAAAATATTAAAAAAAATATAGTTAAAGAACTAAATATTTTCTTATAGAATAAGAAGATTTCTGTTAAAGATAATGGATTAGATGAAATTAAAAATAAATGCGAAAGATAATAAATAGAATTAGAAAAATTCAAAAATAATAAATGAAACTGAAAAGAATATGAAATCTAATAGATGATTTATTAAATTAAGCCGCATATTTGCATGTCCATTGGTATCTTACGATGCGTTTAGGATTGTAGTTGTCAGTTTTTTCATGTAACCACGCAATACTTTTAAATATATGTGTATTTGGTAATATTTAGATTGTTATTTCTAAAAACTATAGAAAGCTACATAAGATTTATAATAATTATATATATATAATCAAAAGTTTCATTTTGAAACTCTTTAATTGTGACTTTTA